CTTTCCCGTCTATGCCATTATTGTTTCAAGTAACTGAATGATGTTTATTTATTACCAATGTTTTAGGAAGTATATTATTGTATATACTTATATATTACCATTTTGGCCAGCATGGACAACCAGGAGAAAGAGGAAGAACGAGAAGCATTATATAAGCATTATATTATACAGTTTATGAAGCACTACCCCATAAACTGGAACACCGCCATCTCTTACTTGTTGCAGGATAGATTTGTACGCATCCCATTCTCTGTCGGTTGAAGGTTCTGGTACCCGGACTAAAATCGACACTCGCTCTTTTCGTTCGTTCTAGTATCCCACGACTCATTCTCATTGCTACCTGAATGGGGAAATCCAGTAACAGTTTTAACTCTCTATCCGGATCTTCTCATAGCAACATGCAAACACACTACCTCCACCTCATCCTCCTTGAATTTCTCATGATGTTTCTTTAGGTGAACGCACAAATTAAATTCGTCGTGCTTTTCACAGAAAACGCAGAACTGGTAGCTTTCGCTTGGTACAGCGGAAGAATAGACTTCTGAATTGAGATGTAGTCACGTGGAAATGTGAAGATGCATAAGTGAAGATGCATAATTGAGTACGTATATCGTGAGCTTGCGATGCAAACTCACCGCCTGTAAGCTCGACGGGCAGGTTGGATATTGTCTCTGAACCAATCCATTCCGTCACCAACAGCCTGCCAGCTCCCCAATGAGCTTATCCCTGCTTATCGTCCAGCTCCTTCCTGACTTCGCTCGTTCCTTCTCCGCAGTGCACTGTTCCGCTTCTAGTAGTGAGACTCGTGTCCTGGTCGGACACTTCCCTCCCGCTGTTCTCCCTGCATAGTTGCTTCATTCAGATTCGGATACATATCTGAAAGAAAGCGGGAGGTAAGAAAACGCTATAATGTGTAGCGCATTTCTTGTTTTACGACCGCAGTGAGCATGTTAGATTGATTGTTGTGTGCTGGGATCTTTTCTTTGTATTGAGTTTTTCACTAAACTCCGAGCTGTGAACAGATTGCAATCGTTACAAGAGTAATGCTGTTTACCCGAGGGTTTTCCCTTGAGAAAGTTGTATTTCTTTCAAAGGAGAACGTTCCTGTACAGAAGCTGTAATAGTACCCTAATGTAACTGTGTTGAATTGCTTTGTTGGAATATGTGCTGCAAAACGACTAAAACTAGAGAGATGTGTGAACAGAGCGGAAAAATGAACAAAGCGATACACCTATGAAACCACTTGGAATCTGTTTCATCTCTGGGCTCTACAACGTAACTCCCTTTACCCTTGATTGAAGTAAAGCAGGCAGCATATTCCAAAAAGGAACACGTCTCAAGCAAGTCAATGGACAGGATCTCTTGACATATTTTCATAGATACAAGAGCTGACTGGATGGCTCAACAACCCAACTACTTATTCTTGCTATTCTTGCTATATTGCTAATAAATTTTTTATTATTTTGTAGTCCTATTTACATCCGGGTCTTCTGCAGCTTTCCGTCCGTTCCATCAAACTTAGCAATGACACTTTTGTACTGTTTGATGCCTAGCGAGCCTACTTTTGCGATACTCCCCACGTCCCCCCCCCGCGGCCAAGTACGAACCCATTTTTGGGGATTTCGCCATGAAAAGAGGGCTGTTAAACGTAGCAGTTAAATCTGTAAAGTGTACACTCAAGCGCTTTCGCAATGCGTTCGACAGTCGGACTGCGTACCCACTTTACTCAAGTGGGTGATACATTCGCAGTGAATTTGAGCCAGTGTGAAAACCTGAAAATTTTAAAAAAATTCAAGTGGAAAACTCACAGCAGAGAATGTTCAAAGGCATAAGGCATAATTTGGTACTCGGCCTGAAATGGTAGCAAGGAAGGTATTTAGTGGGGAAAATAACAAAAAAAGCGAAGTGAAACGGCCAAAAATCTGCAAAACGCCTTCGTTCTACGCGACTTGGAAGCAATTTCGCACGAGTTCCCCGCTGGCATCGTGCCAATAACCACAATGGTAGAATGCAGCACCGCAGCCGCTTCATATCAATCCCTTCGCTTCATATTGTACTTCGCAAATGAAGCGATACGAGCATCAGCATCGGTCGGACATTTGTGGGCGGGCGGGCGCGGTGGGCGTCAAGTCGTCATGTTGCAGCTTGATAGGGCGCTATAAGGATACCTTAGTTGGGAAAGGCGCCACGCAGTGCCTGCTTAGGAGGGCCGAATTCCGTCCTGCTAGGCGTATTGATCGTACACGCTTGGAGATTTTTCGTACCACTTGCCTCTGAAAGCGGATTGAAATGAAAAAGGGTAAGTCTGCCAGGAAATCGAAAGGGTTTGGAAGACTGTGCAAAAATGGGATTACGGTAACGTGAATGAGATTACAGTACAGGGATCAGGGATCCACCTACTCCCAAGCTCTTACTTGGACAAACATCGTTAGTCCCATTAGTCCCTCTTCGCACAAAAAGTCCCTTGAATGCTTTTCTGGCATCTGCGCAGAATTGCGAGGGTAGTCGGTGGGGAAAACTACAAAAGCATCTTTTTATGGAAGAAAAAGGGAGGGAGGGGGTATACATTGGACGAGGCACAGTTCGCATTGCCCATTTCGCATCAGAAGCTAAAATCGTCTCCAATCTACATGGCTAAGGACAAAAGGCAGGGCCGACCTCCACAGGTCAAAAGGCGTTGAGCGAAAACAGAGAACATTTCACGCATAATTAATTTACAGAGAGATGCATCAAAATAGGGGGAATTGGGGAGTCGGTAGGTGCCCAATTTTTCTATGATAATTCCCTCGTGCCGCGAGGTATATCCCCGAATTGCCTTCTCTGTTACGGAATTTCGTACAGTAAATGATGAACAACTAGCAATCTTGTCTAACAGATGGTAATGCAGATGCGTGTATTATATGTAGAAGTATGTTGATGTTGAAGTTATGTTAAAAGCAAAAGTGTGTAGAAGTATGGGCACTATTCAACTGTTACTGTCCCAAAGACTCAAAAATCTTGGTGAAATGTTGCTAGCAGGAGTAGATGATGACCTGTTTACGAGCATGAAATTCGTTTCGATGATAAGCCACTATGTGTAGGACCGGAATTTTTCGAAAGACTACGTACCTGTTTTCGTGGCTGGGTACGCGTGGATTCGTCGCACACTGGCAGGAAAAAAACATTGTGTTGCGAAAGCTTGGCACATTGCCAGGCTTTCGTTATGTAGTTGCTGCATTCAATTGCTTGATGTTTTTTCCTTTTTTATGAGTGATTTTTTGCTTTTCATGTTTTTCCTTGTTTAATGGCAGACATATGAGTGTACTGCAATCATTCCAGTGCCCTGCAGCCAAATTGTGAGTGTACTGTAATCATTTTCGATGTTTCTCATAGGTGCGACATCTGTGACGTAGAAATTTATCATTAAACCTGTAAATGTGATAGGATGGTACGTAAATACACGAAGGGTATTTAATTTAAATTAATTAATCTGACGGCCGGGTAATTGCACATCAATGCCGATTACCGTAATCCCACGACTTTTATTCTCGCATGGTTCGCAACTAAGGTACTCCACGTTGGCCATTACTCCTTTCAGCAGGGTTTTCTTGTCCCAGTCGTTTTGAACACATTCCGGACCGCATGACACACATGGTGTGTCACACTTGTCTGCTCCCTGTGGCCGCGTGACACACATGGTGTGTCATGATCTTCAGAGGCTAAAATTTTCTTATATTTTGACTGTTGCACGAACTTCTCATGTAATATC